ACTCTTGAACACCTAGTAGTAGCCTGGACTCTTGAACACCTAGTAGTAGCCCGGACTCTTGAACACCTAGTAGTAGCCTGGACTCTTGAACACCTAGTAGTAGCCTGGACTCTTGAACACCTAGTAGTAGCCTGGACTCTTGAACACCTAGTAGTAGCCTGGACTCTTGAACACCTAGTAGTAGCCTGGACTCTTGAACACCTAGTAGTAGCCTGGACTCTTGAACACCTAGTAGTAGCCCGGACTCTTGAACACCTAGTAGTAGCCTGGACTCTTGAACACCTAGTAGTAGCCCGGACTCTTGAACACCTAGTAGTAGCCTGGACTCTTGAACACCTAGTAGTAGCCTGGACTCTTGAACACCTAGTAGTAGCCTGGACTCTTGAACACCTAGTAGTAGCCTGGACTCTTGAACACCTAGTAGTAGCCCGGACTCTTGAACACCTAGTAGTAGCCCGGACTCTTGAACACCTAGTAGTAGCCTGGACTCTTGAACACCTAGTAGTAGCCTGGACTCTTGAACACCTAGTAGTAGCCCGGACTCTTGAACACCTAGTAGTAGCCTGGACTCTTGAACACCTAGTAGTAGCCTGGACTCTTGAACACCTAGTAGTAGCCCGGACTCTTGAACACCTAGTAGTAGCCTGGACTCTTGAACACCTAGTAGTAGCCTGGACTCTTGAACACCTAGTAGTAGCCTGGACTCTTGAACACCTAGTAGTAGCCTGGACTCTTGAACACCTGGACTCTTGAACACCTAGTAGTAGCCTGGACTCTTGAACACCTAGTAGTAGCCTGGACTCTTGAACACCTAGTAGTAGCCTGGACTCTTGAACACCTAGTAGTAGCCTGGACTCTTGAACACCTAGTAGTAGCCCGGACTCTTGAACACCTAGTAGTAGCCTGGACTCTTGAACACCTAGTAGTAGCCTGGACTCTTGAACACCTAGTAGTAGCCCGGACTCTTGAACACCTAGTAGTAGCCTGGACTCTTGAACACCTAGTAGTAGCCTGGACTCTTGAACACCTAGTAGTAGCCCGGACTCTTGAACACCTAGTAGTAGCCTGGACTCTTGAACACCTAGTAGTAGCCTGGACTCTTGAACACCTAGTAGTAGCCTGGACTCTTGAACACCTAGTAGTAGCCTGGACTCTTGAACACCTAGTAGTAGCCTGGACTCTTGAACACCTAGTAGTAGCCTAGTAGTGGACTCTTGAACACCTAGTAGTAGCCTGGACTCTTGAACACCTAGTAGTAGCCTGGACTCTTGAACACCTAGTAGTAGCCCGGACTCTTGAACACCTAGTAGTAGCCTGGACTCTTGAACACCTAGTAGTAGCCTGGACTCTTGAACACCTAGTAGTAGCCTGGACTCTTGAACACCTAGTAGTAGCCTGGACTCTTGAACACCTAGTAGTAGCCCGGACTCTTGAACACCTAGTAGTAGCCTGGACTCTTGAACACCTAGTAGTAGCCTGGACTCTTGAACACCTAGTAGTAGCCCGGACTCTTGAACACCTAGTAGTAGCCTGGACTCTTGAACACCTAGTAGTAGCCTGGACTCTTGAACACCTAGTAGTAGCCTGGACTCTTGAACACCTAGTAGTAGCCCGGACTCTTGAACACCTAGTAGTAGCCTGGACTCTTGAACACCTAGTAGTAGCCCGGACTCTTGAACACCTAGTAGTAGCCTGGACTCTTGAACACCTAGTAGTAGCCTGGACTCTTGAACACCTAGAACACCTAGTAGTAGTGGACTCTTGAACACCTAGTAGTAGCCTGGACTCTTGAACACCTAGTAGTAGCCTGGACTCTTGAACACCTAGTAGTAGCCTGGACTCTTGAACACCTAGTAGTAGCCTGGACTCTTGAACACCTAGTAGTAGCCCGGACTCTTGAACACCTAGTAGTAGCCTGGACTCTTGAACACCTAGTAGTAGCCTGGACTCTTGAACACCTAGTAGTAGCCCGGACTCTTGAACACCTAGTAGTAGCCTGGACTCTTGAACACCTAGTAGTAGCCCGGACTCTTGAACACCTAGTAGTAGCCCGGACTCTTGAACACCAAGTAGTAGCCCGGACTCTTGAACACCTAGTAGTAGCCTGGACTCTTGAACACCTAGTAGTAGCCCGGACTCTTGAACACCTAGTAGTAGCCCTGGACTCTAGTAGTAGCCTGGACTCTTGAACACCTAGTAGTAGCCCGGACTCTTGAACACCTAGTAGTAGCCTGGACTCTTGAACACCTAGTAGTAGCCTGGACTCTTGAACACCTAGTAGTAGCCCGGACTCTTGAACACCTAGTAAGCCTGGACTCTTAGTAGTAGCCCGGACTCTTGAACACCTAGTAGTAGCCTGGACTCTTGAACACCTAGTAGTAGCCCGGACTCTTGAACACCTAGTAGTAGCCCGGACTCTTGAACACCTAGTAGTAGCCTGGACTCTTGAACACCTAGTAGTAGCCTGGACTCTTGAACACCTAGTAGTAGCCTGGACTCTTGAACACCTAGTAGTAGCCTGGACTCTTGAACACCTAGTAGTAGCCCGGACTCTTGAACACCTAGTAGTAGCCCGGACTCTTGAACACCTAGTAGTAGCCTGGACTCTTGAACACCTAGTAGTAGCCCGGACTCTTGAACACCTAGTAGTAGCCTGGACTCTTGAACACCTAGTAGTAGCCTGGACTCTTGAACACCTAGTAGTAGCCCGGACTCTTGAACACCTAGTAGTAGAACACCTAGTAGTAGCCAGGACTCTTGAACACCTAGTAGTTGCCTGGACTCTTGAACACCTAGTAGTAGCCTGGACTCTTGAACACCTAGTAGTAGCCTGGACTCTTGAACACCTAGTAGTAGCCTGGACTCTTGAACACCTAGTAGTAGCCAGGACTCTTGAACACCTAGTAGTAGCCTGGACTCTTGAACACCTAGTAGTAGCCTGGACTCTTGAACACCTAGTAGTAGCCTGGACTCTTGAACACCAAGTAGTAGCCCGGACTCTTGAACACCTAGTAGTAGCCCGGACTCTTGAACACCTAGTAGTAGCCTGGACTCTTGAACACCTAGTAGTAGCCTGGACTCATGAAAACAGGCTCTAGCAGAGGACCTTGCCAGCTAGATTGCTTTATTGTTTACCAGGCAACAGTTGAAGGCTTCATGTGAACAACCAGAGAAACTCGGTATATGAAAGCTGGTTATTCTTCCCTTAAACCCATGCTTGCCTAGCTAAAGGGATAACGTAGTTATTTATGCCCTTGACCATGGAAGATCAGACCACACACTAGAAATTGAAGGGACGACGACGTTTCGGCCCGTCCTGGACCATTCTCAAGTCGATTGTCCAGGACGGGCCGAAACGTCGTCGTCCCTTCAATTTCTAGTGTGTGGTCTGGTCAACATACTTCAGCCACGTTATTGTGACTCATCGCCTGCACATGGAAGATCATTACCCAAAAAAAAGCGAATTTCATCGTTTGTGTTGACAATGCCAAGAAACAGACACATCTTAATATTTCACATATTCAGCACAATTCGGTGCATGTCCTCAGGTGCACTCATCTTTTACAATGCGCCTCTCTGTGCCTCTGCGCCTCTCTGTGCCTCTGCGCCTCTCTGTGCCTCTCTGTGCCTCTGCGCCTCTCTGTGCACCCTATGTTTACCAAGAGGCAATGCATGGCTTTAGATTTTTTTTTGTTATATTTACATACAGAGCATGCTGATACATACAATAAAACAATACAAAAGAAGGAAAACAAAAGAAGCAAAACACATCACCACCGGCCTGAAGGGCCGACAATAAACATTAACACGAAGAACCACCACACCGCAGGACAACATAAACATAATACATAAGACAAATTACATAACGGAAGTAAACACAAATAAACACACAAAAATACATAATGGAAATACATAAAAGAAACACAGGACACAAACAGAAAATAACAATACAGCCACAGGGAAAAAAACAGCCCGAAAGGCACACAGCAAAATACAAACAAGTGCACAAATAGCTCACGCACACACGTAAAAACCGGAACAGGCCAACGCAGGAGCCATGAGGAACACCCACAAGCACACACACAATGACACCCCCCATGCACTCAGGCACCGGGAAAACAAGCCACACACACCCTGACAGACACAAACAAAGAAACAAAACACAAACACAAACATAATCCAACCACACGGACTGCTCATACTTATCCGGAAACGCATGTGCCGGAAATCTAAAAAAAATCGCCTCCCAAAGCAGCTGGGAGTGCTCTGAGACCTGACCACAGGGAGGCAGACACGGCCGAGGCACAGAATCCGGCACACCACCCACAAAAACCCGTGCCCGCAGAATCCAAATGGAAGTAGGGCTCCACGGAACAGGTAGCACGCTATCAATAATATCAAACCTCACCATGGTAGACGTGTCACACACTTTCCTGGAGGCCAAGACGAAAGGAATGGGCTTCCTCCTAGGGGGGGCCGGGCACAGGATGACACCCTCGATGGCACACCAGGGGGCGCACAGGGCTGCGCACTATAGCGCGCACACACTAGGCCTTATCCTGGGCACCGCACAGTCCCACTCGCTATCCACGGGATGGCACACCTGCTGGAACCCCCACGGGGGACATCCTTCTTTAGCACCATGACGATCCCACGGGATGGCACACCTGCTGGAACCCCCACGGGGGACATCCTTCTTTAGCACCATGACGATCCCACGGGATGGCACACCTGCTGGAACCCCCACGGGGGACATCCTTCTTTAGCACCATGACGATCCCACGGGATGGCACACCTGCTGGAACCCCCACGGGGGACATCCTTCTTTAGCACCATGACGATCCCACGGGATGGCACACCTGCTGGAACCCCCACGGGGGACATCCTTCTTTAGCACCATGACGATCCCACGGCCAGCACCAACAGCATAAGGATCATCCACCCCCCACTGCGGAAAACCCTCTGCAAGAGAAAGAACATAAGTGAAACGTGAGCCACAGTCATCTGCAGCCGGAGGCATATGGACCTCCGCCACCATCGTTGCAGGAAAGAGTGACGCATCCAGAACCTCCCCGTCGACATCGGAAGATGCACAGTCGCTGAAATCCCCCACATCCGCTCAGGCAGAAGAGGAATGGCGAGAATGCTTAGGCACCGGCTGCACACCATCAGAGCCAGAAGCAGAGCCAGAAACACAGGTAACACGGGCCGGACGCACAGAGGCTCGACGCAGAATGGCAGCAGCTTCAACCAAACAGGGAACCGGGCCACACACAGCAGGAGGCCCAGCAGTCACCCCAGCATCTACCACAGCTGTGACACAAGGCGAGGGCACAGAGACAGGCATAGCTGCAGGAGATGAAGAACAAGAAGACATCGACGGAGCACAGAGACCACCCGGAAGACCCACGGGAGCAGCTAGGACAGCGACCGGAGCAAGAGGGCTACTCGACGCCACCGCAACTCCCGAAGGAGGGGCTGCAACATCCAAAGGTGCGCCGGGCGATGCATGGGGAGCCGCATCAGCACACAGGACGTCCACAACCTCACTTACGGAATCCTCCTCTACAGGGAGCGGCGGGAATTCCTCCTCACGGAAGATGTTCAGGGGCACGACGGTAGGCACAGAGCACCCAGCAGTCTGATGGCCCAAGAGGCCACAACGATACCATGTCCGAAGCTAGCGGGCATAATACACCTGAACTGTAATAACCCAGGAGCTTCAATGAGGACGGAATGTCCAACCGCAGCCGCATTCCCAGGGTGCAAATGTTCGTCCGCACACCTTTGAGCATTCTCGAGGAGAGCAGGTGCAACCGCACACTGACAACAGCTCCAAACTGGCCGAAATAATGCCGCAGCAGTCCCTCCGAAAAACCAAGGGCGCCCCATGAACGATAACATACGTGATAGTACCACTCCGATCCAAGATAGAAGGTGCAGGAAGGTGCCTGCACCTTCCGGCAGGGGTAAGGTCCTCCCCTCGTAACGACGTAAACACGTCTGGTATGCCTCCTTTCGCCGTAAACTTGTCACTAATTCAATGCCATAAACGTCCATCACAGGTACCCAAAGCATTTCACACAGCATGATCTCCACCTCAGGATAGCCAGCTCGACCAGAAAAATCTAGGCCCACAGACTGAGCCTGCACAACAGGCGGGAGGGGGCCCCGATGGTGCCGACACGCCAAACATGACCCTCCCTCTCGCAACTCCAGGCAACAACTGGCAGGTCAGGTGGACACGTCTGTACCCCCTGGTGGCCAGCGAGGCAATACTTTACATATTGTGCACTGGTCCGAAACTCACATATTCTCTCAGTTTAGCCCTGACATGGACACAGCACTGCAGTGCGCTTTACGCATTCACTGACACCTTGCTCAACACAAATTCACTGACGCATTACGCACTTATTGAAGCATTGCACATCAGCCTTTGACTCCCTGCCCTGCACTTGAAGAGATATATAATACATATAACATCCTAACCGACGCATATTTTCACAGCCTACACGCACGTTACTGCATCTTACTCCTGACACACTGTATTACGCATTAATTGTACACTGCTCCTGGTGGGTGACTTCCTCCCCCCCCTCCCCCTCACGCCTTTCTCAAGAGTTTCAGAAGGTTAAACGACCACACCCACAATTACCATTCGTCATAACGACTGCCCAGTATAATGCATCACTTTAATGAATTTTAACAGCTTTTTAAGACAACGAAATCCTGAAATAGCCATTTTTTAATCTATAATATTTTAGAGCAACAGTATTTTATTGCTGGGAGATAATGGTAAATGTCTGCCAATGTTTACTGTGGTTTGGTCGTGTGTGTGTGTTCCCTGTGCCTGAATATGACAAAGTGTACACACTTTGAACAAGTTAACATGCCCTCAGGCAAGTGTATGTATTTTTTAACACCCTATTCGTTCCATTGGGCACGTGTTTGTGTACATGTGAACAAGTGCATGTGTCCTCCAACTAGGCAGGTGCTATATGTGACAAATGTTTTTGTTCAGGTGCCACGCTAAACCCTGGCTGGAACGTTTCTCCACCACCGTGTGGTGGTGGTGGTCGTTACAAGTGATGAACAAGAGACAGTGAGTCACCACAACACAGCACCAGTGATGAACAAGAGACAGTGAGTTACCACAACACAGCACCAGTGATGAACAAGAGACAGTGGGTTACCACAACACAGCACCAGTGATGAACAAGAGACAGTGAGTCACCACAACACAGCACCAGTGATGAACAAGAGACAGTGAGTTACCACAACACAGCACCAGTAATGAACAAGAGACAGTGAGTTACCACAACACAGCACCAGTAATGAACAAGAGACAGTGAGTTACCACAACACAGCACCAGTGATGAACAAGAGACAGTGAGTCACCACAACACAGCACCAGTGATGAACAAGAGACAGTGAGTCACCACAACACAGCACCAGTGATGAACAAGAGACAGTGAGTTACCACAACACAGCACCAGTGATGAACAAGAGACAGTGAGTTACCACAACACAGCACCAGTGATGAACAAGAGACAGTGGGTTACCACAACACAGCACCAGTGATGAACAAGAGACAGTGAGTTACCACAACACAGTGATGAACAAGAGACAGTGAGTTACCACAACACAGCACCAGTGATGAACAAGAGACAGTGAGTTACCACAACAACAAGAGACAGTGAGTTACCACAACACAGCACCAGTGATGAACAAGAGACAGTGAGTTACCACAACAACAAGAGACAGTGGGTTACCACAACACAGCACCAGTGATGAACAAGAGACAGTGAGTTACCACAACACAGCACCAGTGATGAAGAAGAGACAGTGAGTTACCACAACACAGCACCAGTGATGAACAAGAGACAGTGAGTTACCACAACAACAAGAGACAGTGGGTTACCACAACACAGCACCAGTGATGAAGAAGAGACAGTGAGTTACCACAACACAGCACCAGTAATGAACAAGAGACAGTGAGTTACCACAACACAGCACCAGTAATGAACAAGAGACAGTGAGTTACCACAACACAGCACCAGTGATGAAGAAGAGACAGTGAGTTACCACAACACAGCACCAGTGATGAACAAGAGACAGTGAGTTACCACAACACAGCACCAGTGATGAAGAAGAGACAGTGGGTTACCACAACACAGCACCAGTGATGAACAAGAGGCAGTGGGTTACCACAACACAGCACCAGTGATGAACAAGAGACAGTGAGTTACCACAACACAGCACCAGTAATGAACAAGAGACAGTGAGTTACCACAACACAGCACCAGTGATGAACAAGAGACAGTGAGTTACCACAACACAGCACCAGTGATGAACAAGAGACAGTGAGTTACCACAACACAGCACCAGTAATGAACAAGAGACAGTGAGTTACCACAACACAGCACCAGTGATGAACAAGAGACAGTGGGTTACCACAACACAGCACCAGTGATGAACAAGAGACAGTGAGTTACCACAACACAGCACCAGTGATGAACAAGAGACAGTGAGTTACCACAACACAGCACCAGTAATGAACAAGAGACAGTGAGTTACCACAACACAGCACCAGTGATGAACAAGAGACAGTGAGTTACCACAACACAGCACCAGTGATGAACAAGAGACAGTGGGTTACCACAACACAGCACCAGTGATGAACAAGAGGCAGTGGGTTACCACAACACAGTGATGAAGAAGAGACAGTGAGTTACCACAACACAGTGATGAACAAGAGCCATGTTGAACAACTCGTCTGGAGCTCTCACACGCATCATCTTCCCTCAAGGACATTCAGTTTTCTGGAGTGTTTTACATTTATTAATAAAGATTGGGTTTGTGGGTAATAGTCGCGGCCAAAGTTTACGACCAAACTTCTAATGGATTTCTTCGGCTTCAGTGAAGAAGTTGAGCCAAACTTGTGCTATAATAAATGCCCCCTTCCATCCCCCCTCCCTACACCCCAGAAAATAAAAACATGAAATTTTCTTATTTTAATTGATAATTTGTTAGTTATTCTTTAAGTCATCTAGTTATAACTGTCGGTATAACTGTGTGTGTGTGTGTATTACCTGTTTGTGCCTGCAGAATCGAGCTATTAGCTCTGGGACTCCGCCTTTCTAAACAATCATTTTTTCCTGATAAGTCTACTACATATATTTCTGACTAACACACACACACACACACATCCCCAGAAAACAGCCAGTAGCAGCTGTATAACTCCCAGGTACCTGTTTACCGCTAGGGGGAATAAGACTTCAAGGTGAAAGAAACTCTACCTACTAGTTTCAGCCTCGGCCAGGAAACGAACCCGGGGTCTTGAAGATTACGACCCTGGAGTGCTGTCCATGCTTCCGCGAGGCCTCGTGTGTACTAACATTTCTGTACCTGCAGGATCGAGCGATTGCTCTTGGATCCCACCTTTCTGGCCGCCGGTTGTTCAACGCTCCTGTCCTACTTCCATATCATATCTAGTTTTAATACTATGAATTTTTGTTTTGTTTCCACAATGTGCTCCTTTAGCTCATTCCATTTTTCCAGAACTCTCAAGCTAAAAGAAAACTTTCTAACATCTCTGTGACTCATCCGAGTTTCCAGCTTCCCTCCATGTCCCCTTGTTTTGTTTTTTATATGTACCTATCATATCTCCCCGCTCCCTCCTCTTTCTAGCGTCGTCTGGTTCAGTTCCTTCAGTCGCTCTTCATGTCATCATATTAATATACAATATACTGCTCCAGCCATCATGGAAAACTAGGAGATTGGTAAATTGCAATGGGCCTCTTGTCCCATAAGTGAGGTGCTTCCCCTTCACCTCATCCTCGGCTATATATCCAGTTTGCTCCTTTTTTGTTTAAAATTTGTTTTAACCTTTTCCAGTTTAAAAGGTTGTGTTTTGTGTTTGTGTGTGTTTCTTCAGGTGGGGACTCCATGATGGGGCGGCATACTCTAAGACTGGCCTCACGTAGGCAGTGGAAAGCGCCCTAAATGCCTCCTAACTTAGGTTTCTGAATGATGTTCTAACTTTTGCCAGTGTAGTGTACGCTGCTGTCGTTATCCTATTTATATGTGCCTCAGGAGATAAATTTCGTGTTACGTACACGCCTGTGGGAACCGACCTGTGAGATTTATATTTATTTAATTTATATGAATTTATATTTACGTTAATTTATATACTTCGATAGCAATTTGTATAATGATAAGTGGACTGTATTTCTGCAATAATCTCATAATCTCACAAATCGATCCTCTACACATTAGGGGGGTTTATATTTATATATATGCAGCCAATCAAACTACAGTAACTACATACATTGAAGAGGTTCCTTATCTTATAGTACAGCAGGTTAGTCCACCAGGTATAACTAGGGTGTAGACACCAAATTATCCTCTTTGAGGTAGCTTCTATCACCCAGTAACTGGTGCACAAAATCTTCCATCCTCGTCTTGACCTGTCAAAAGTGCGCTAGCTGTGAAGCCAGATACCTATATATGACAAGCTATATCAGAGAAAACACTATACAGTACATGGAACATTAAAGACCTGGCTTAATTACCTTTAGTATGAGGCGATTTCGCGTTCTAACCGGCTAACCCTATATCCTGACATTAATGGCCATAAATGAAT